AAGACATTTAGCATTACTAGAAGTCAGGAAAATGCAAATTAAATCCACAATGAAATATCATTTGTCATCTTTGCACTGAGAGGTATAGAGGAGTAGATATTCTTACATGCTGTTGGCAAGAATGTAAATTACAATATTTTAGAAAGTAATCTGATAGTATTTATTAAAATTTAAAATATATGTGCTTTGGGAACCAGGATTTTTCTTCTGTGAAATATTTAACTAATATAAACATACCAACAATTGAGAGATATAGGCATGACCTACAATTAATAGAAAAAATATAGTAACAACACTGATATTTAAGTAACAAAATGGTTGAACATACGCTAAATTCATTTTATAAAACTTCAAACTATTAAAAGGTAATAGATTAAATTAATATCTAATTTATCTTGATTGATAATATGTCTCTGGTATATTTTAAGTGGAACAACTTACATTAAAATCTTTTAAATATAAACCCATATTTTAAAAAATAAAACCAAAACAAAACAAAATTTACTATCTTTGTATTGAATACAAACACTATGTTGGGAACATGTACTGTATACCAAAAAATTAATTATTTTTAGTTCTATTACCCTATAATCAATCAAATTAATTGCTATTAATGTTTTTCAGGACAATATTACTACAGGGTTCTCTACAATATTAATGCAGAGTTCTATATAAGATGCTGGATTAGTTCCTTTGATATTTGTAAAAATTCCCCCAAGAACTACATAGGAATCTGCCCTTTAATAAAGCATTATGGAGATTGCTGGCCTATCGGGGAAGCCTGTGGGCACAGGAGCAGGCATGGAATCCAATGCTTGTAAATGAATTGAAGCGCCAGGATCACCCACCTGGACATGTGCACCTGGACCTAACGAGGCAGTGTATAAACTTATTCTCTAGACCTGAAACAAAACAAAACAAAACACATAACATATCTAAATGTTATGTAATAATAGGTTGATATGACCTTAACCTAGGAACATGTTTCACATTATTTCTCTCCTTACTTACTCTTGGGGCTCTAATTCCCATAGTATTTAGTTATTTAGTTTTTGTCTTTTGCCTACACAGCTGTCGGACCGCAATGTGGATGTCTCTAAGTCAATACTTAAGAATATTTCCATATTTCCTACTCCATATGTTAATTTTGTTTGTTCATTTTTTTTCTGTTAAGTAGGTATTGACTATGTCATAGAATACTAATATTTTTAAAGATATAAGCCACAAATATTTGAGAAGGGAGATGAGACCATTATATATTGAATAATTGTCTTGTGCCACACAACTTCCTAGTTGTTTCTGTATCCATAAACGTGAGTCTTATTCGTAAAAACTTATTTGTAGAGCAATGAGCAGAATTCTGATTAGAAGGACTCATACACACATGAGAAAAAAGAATGATATAAATTAGGACAAAAAATAGAGTAAATGAATTTGACTCAAACCATAGTTAAGAGGGAAAGCCAGGAGCAGCATGAAGGGACCAAAATATTTGTTTTAAACAGTTCAGTTTTTCTCTACCAGGCTGTGTCTATACTGCTCTCTCAAGTAGGCCTAAATAAGACCTAATCATGAGGCCATTGTAATTCTCGAGGCAGTGTCCAGGACAGTCATTCAGAGAAACGCACAAATAAAACTCTATATTTTCAGATTTCTGTTTTCAAAATCAGTTAAAAAAAGAAAAAGAGAAAAAAGTCTGCTTTCTTCTTCCTTGAGACACATTTTACTCCCATTCATACATTTCATGTCATAGAATTTCAGCTTTTTACATCATCATATCATCAATGTAATTTCTTAAGTGTGATATTTTCTTTTTGTTGCTATTGTTCTTTTCACACTGCTTTAGTCTTCGCAGATTGCCATAATGAAATCATATAGATTGAGTGATTTAAACAGCATAAGTTTGTTTTCCCATGATTTTTTTTCTTCTGCTGAAAAATCCAAGATCAAAGTTCTGACAGTGTTTGATTTCTGGTGAGGGCTTGTTTCCTGGCTTGTAGACAGCCTCCTTCTAACTGTGTTCTTATATGGACTTCCTTTGGTGCCTGAACATGGGGAAAGAGAGAGTGAGAAATCTTTCTCTTTATCCTCTTCTTATGAGGCACCAATCCTTTCATATTAGGATCCCACCCTTCGACTTCATTTAATCTTAATTACCTCCCAAAAGCCCTATCTATAAATGCTGTCACATGGGGATTAAGACATGAACATGGGATTAAGATATGAACATGTGAATTTGGGGAGGGGGCACAATTCAGTCAATACCACATATCAACACTTATTATTTTGGTTATTTATTTCAACTTGGAAATTGGAGAACACACTGCCACACAAGTATGATGCAGGCACTGTAAGTCTGCATTTGTTCATTAGTTTATTCTTTTAGTAAACATTTTTCAGAGGCCTAGTCTAGGCCCTATAACATAAAAGGCTAGAATACTGAGTAAATAAATGTAATCCTTAAAATTTAGGAGAAATTTGAGACATTTCTGTTGTCACATCAGATAATCAATCACATGGTTTGATAATCTGTTCTATAGCCAAAATTGTAATATTTGCGGTTTTGGGAAATAAAGCTGGCAGTATATAACATATACCTTGCCATTAAAAGCGTGATGTGTTTATAAATATCTTAATTTTAAGGAATTATTATGGTTAATTTTATGTCAATGTAACTGTGTTAAAGCATACCTAGATTGTTGGTAAAACATTATTTCTGTCTGTGAGGGCATTTTCAGAAGATTAGAATTTAAGGCAGTAGACAGAAACTAAGATTGCTCACCATTGCAGGCAATTATCGTCCAGTCTTCTGAGGGCCTAAACAGAATCAAAAGATGAAGGAAAGGTGAATTTGCTCTCTCTTCTGGACCTGGAACATACATCTTCTCCTGCTCTTATATGAGAGCTCCACATTCTCAGACCTTCAGACCATGGGACTTACCCCTATACCCTTTGCACTCCCAGCCTTATTGTCAGGGCTTCAGCCTCAGTTATACTATCAGCTCCCCTGCTTCTCAAAACTTTGGACTAAGCTTGAATTACACCACTGGCTTTTCTACTTCTCCAGTTTGCAGAAAACATATTGTGGGATTTCTCAACCTCCAAAATTATATGAGCTGATTTTCCCATTGAATCTCCCTTTATCTATCTATCTATCTATTTATCTATCATCTATCTTTTATCTACCTGTCTATCTATCATTTATCTATCATGTGTCTATCATCTATCTATGCATCATCTATCTATTGTCTATCTATCTGTCATCTATCATCTATTATCTTTATCCATCCATCTAGTTACCTATTCAGTTATTTATTTCAAAGCAATAGATAACTATTTTGTTTCTCTGGAGAACCCTGGCTTATACAAGAATTATTACCTTCTCAGTTATCTATAATCACAACAATTTTGTATGTGAAACAATCACAAGACTTTCATGGGTTGCAATGATAGACAGCTATTTTTATTCACAAGTCTATGTATTTGGTGGGTGATTCTGCGGACTGAGCTGGGCTCACTGGAGCCCATCCATGCAGCTGTGGTTGGCTTTCCAACAGTTACTCAGCTTTGCTGATTTTCAGTGGGCTTTCTTACATGTCTGAGGCCCCAGCTAGAAATTCTAGACTGACTTCGTTCTTCTTAATGTATCTCCTTGGACATGACCTCTTGGCTTTGATCTCAGAATGAAAGCAGAAGAGCAAGAGAGAGAGAGTGGAATCATGCAACAACTTCTAATCAGGAGTCTCAAAACTAGTACATAATTTCCCAATTGTCTAATGTGTAAAGAAAATTAAAAGTCCACACCATATTCAATTGGTAAGAAACAAAATGTATCAGCTGATGTGAACAACTAAAAAGGCTCATTGCAAAAGATATGGATACTGGAGCTGGTTAATGGGTGAGTGAAGATGGAGGCCATTTTTGCAACTAGTCTCCTATACTAGCAGAGATTTTAAAATGCAGAAAATGTAAACTTAAATTGATAATACTTTAGCAGAAAACCAGAGAAACTACCAAATGAAACCATAAAGCTACCTATGTTAGTGGGTCACAGATGCTAAAACAAACAAACACACAAACAAAGTTGAGAGCTATTTACTACTTTTATTGTCCTATTGTCAGGAATGAATAGAGTTAATTTCAGATTATATACTGTCCCCTCCACATACATACATATTTCCCTGTTTCTCAGTAATCCCACATATCCCTTTATTGCCAGGTATCCTACTAAAACAGATGATGACATATTTACAACTAGATGTAGACTTTCTGGTTTGTTGTTGATGTTTTCCTCTTTGTGATTGAAACGAAAACTCCATTTCCTACTGCCAAGAGCCTCATCCAATCTATTGTCAGTTCTTGCCTCAACTCAACACCTGCCTCTTAATGTTAAGCACAATTAATTTCACTGGAGGCAGAGGGATCAAAGCCAAACACACATGTGTATATATACACACACACAAAATTTGAAAATTGTCTATTGCTTTTCAAATATACCATCTTTAAAATGGACTGCTATGCACTTAATAAGCTGACATTTATTCAGTTAAGCTTTAAGGGATTTTATTCACACTTTTCTCAAGACATTCTGGTCCTTCAGGGTAAGGCACATTTCCCACTCTATCTATTATTAAGCTTTTAGATAAATGAACATTTTCTTAGTTGGTTTTTTTTTTTTTTTTTTTACCTGTCAGACTAGAAGCACTACTGTATGTTCACACACATCCTCATTGCTATTAAGTAATACTTATCACAATTTGAAATTATATTTTGTGGCATTCTTTGAGTGTTTGCTTATATTCTCTCCCCCAAAAGCATACCCCATACCGTAAGCTTTCTTAGAACAAGTGAAACGTCCGTTTTGTTCAGTATGTTATGTGCCTTGCCAGTGTCTAACACACAGTAAATACTCAATAGCACTCACTGACAAGATACATAAATCAATGCATTTATACTTAAGCTTCCAAGATTAGCAATCAAAAAATTTCTCTTTGAAACACGTGCTTTCAAAATATGGTTATGTTCTAGCGATATTTAGAACTCCCAAAATATCCACATACGCTGCACAACTCCCAGCCCAGTTCCCTGAATCACTGAATGAAAGAAGACAGCCTGGATGGTCTCAGTGGATTTTTAATAAGTCAGTGTAAACCCTGTTGTATAAAATCACTGACAGATGGAGGTTTATTTGTTACTGAATCATAATTTACCTTATCTTGACAAATATAGATGTTAAAATGTAGAAAGTTATTAACAAGCTTATTAATAGTCAACTATGCATAAAATTACATTTGGACATTCTTTCTTAAATAAGTACAATATTGGGCACAGTGGCTCACGCCTATAATCCCAGCACTTTGAGGGGTCAAGGCTGGTAGATCACGAGGTCAGGAGATAGAGACCATCCTGGCCAACATGGTGAAACCCTGTCTCTACTAAAATACAAAAAATTAGCCAAGCTTGGTGGTGCATGCCTGTGGTCTCAGCTGCTCGGGAGGCTGAGGCAGGAGAATCACTTGAACCCAAGAGACAGAGGTTGCAGTGAGCCGAGATTGTGCCACTGCACTCCAACCTGGCGACAGAGTGACACTGTGTCTCAAAAAAAAAAAAAAAAAGAAGTACAATATCTACGTATATGGTGTATTTTAAGTCTGTTTCAGTATCACCCATCTTTCATTTGCAGATTAAAGTCATGATCTTTAAATAAATGCTAAACACTGGAAGCACTCTAAATACATTTTCTCTAATTTGAGTCAACAAACAGCACTGTGATAAAGAAGCATTACTGTCATTCAGTTATTAAATCAACTTTGCTACATTTGTTATATTCAGAGCAACAGGCTCATTTAAAATCTACATCATCACTAAAGTCTACAACGTTTTTTTCAACAGTTATTAATGTAGTAACTGTACCCTGACACTTTAAGGACAAACTGACACGAATGAGTGCAAGCTCCAAATTTAACTCTCTCAAGACTATGCCATGCTCTCTTTTAAACTGTCTATCTATCAGGGCTTCCTTTTTCATTCTGGTTATTTGTGCATTATCACATTTCTTATTAATGAGTATCCTGTTTTTATTATCTAATTCTACTTTTTCCCCTATTTGGTAAATTAACACTGTAATCACTGTGCTTTTAGGAAAACCTCCGAAATGCCCTCTTCTTCAATTTTACGTTTATTGCTTTATATTTGATGTGGAGTCTGTATATATGGAAGGTTGTTTCTTCTCATTAGCAGTTTACCTTTTCCCCTCTGTAGTTACTGTGGTCTCATACAAGATAAGTTTGCCTTCAACTGTATACTTATGAAACTCCAGAACTATTCACATTTAGGTAACTTGAAATTTCATCTTCCAACCTGAATTCTGAGATAGTGAATTTAATCTCTACCTCCATGACTTGCTGTTCTTAATTTAGTCAACACTAAACATGGTTTAGAGGAGGCCAGTGTGGGGTGCAGCCAGGTCCAGATAAAATGTCATGTTGAGTTACTGGCCCTGTGAACATTCCTTTTCTAAGTACTGAAGCATGGTATTTTATTTAACCAGGAAAAAGAAGAATTTCATATTGATTCTTTAAGGTTTTTTAATGTACTCAGCATTTGAACAGAATCTTTTGCTATAAATTATTTTTATAATACCATCAAATTTTTATTTCTAAGAAAAATATTTTTATTAAGAAAAATAATTCCAAATAATGACTCTAGGAGTTTTTAAAATGTGGTCTTATGATGGATTATAGATGACTTTATAAATTAACTATGATTTCAATCTATAACATTCAGAGACATAATTAGACTAAACACTCTGAGATTTACTTATAATTTGTCCTGATTACAGTCAGTGGTGTTTAAATTACCTAAATGGATGAAAGGAAATTAATTTGAATATAAAAATGTTTAAAAGTCTACTCCCACGAAGAAAAATATATATTTACATGGAAAGAATAGCTCTTTAAAATGAGAACTTATTTGTATTTTTCTTGTACACGGATATCAAATCTCGATATTGAAAAAATAAAATATTTAAATAATTACCCAACTCTTTTTTTAAAAACATTTTCTTTCCAACAGTTTTATATGGCTGTTAAAGTCAGTGAAAAAATATCTTCTATGCACATTTTATTTATAAAAGTGGTATTTCATGTCATATATTATTGTTATTAAGATTTGAGTTCAAAGAAAAGTCAAAGCCTCAAATATTTGTCTGTTGCATCATTTGGCCTATTTATACAAAATTAAATCAAAAATAATATAAAATAAAATAAAATCTAAGTATTTCCTGAGGGAATTTCTCCTCTCTTCTCAAGAAGAAGTTGTCTTGTTAGAGATTTCTATGTTTCTTCATGTGTTCAGCCTGAGGAACTTTAATAAGAAGGGGAGTGATGAAAATAGCAGTCAGACAATGAAACTAATACCAGTGAATCTGGTGAAGCATACTTTTTGTCCCACTAATTATCGGTAAATTATTGTGCTGTCTCATGACCTTTATACTGTTACTGATCTGTTATAAACCTGCTTTGCTTCTCGTTTGCCTTCACCCACAGAATATCTGATATAAATATCAGAGAACAAAAAATTTTGAAATATTCCCTACCAACATTTTATAAGAATTACATTTTTATAATATATTACCATAAAAAGTAGATTATGAAAAGTTTAGCTTGCCAGTTTACAAATATATTATTTATCTAAAACATCTGCTTGTTAATGCCAACATACATATTTTGGCTTTCTTTCCCAAAAATCTATTGCAAAGTGTTCTTTACCTTTTAGCACATTCTTTGGTTATTTTCTGTAATTCAGGAAATAGTTATTTTATTACAGTTATCTCAGAAAACACTGAATACTTTCTGTCCATAAGACCTTTGTACTAGAAACTGTGGTTTTATGAGTATGAATTTCTTTCATGTTACAGTTTTTAGAGGAAAGGCTTTCAACTATTTAGTATAATAGTAGCTATGAGTTTGCCATATGTGACCTTTATTATGTTGAAGTATATTCCTTTTATGCCAAATTTGTTGAGTTTTTATCATGAAAGGATGCTGAGATTTCTCAAATTTTTTCTACATCTGTTAAGATATTCATATTTATTTTGTTTGTGTGTCATATTCCATTCATTGATTTGAATATGTTGAACCATCCTTGCATCTATAGGAAAAATCCCAATTAATCATGATTTATTATCTTTTTTTCACTTGTTGAATTTGGTTTGTTAATATTTTGTGGAGGAGTTTTGCATCTATGTTCATCAAGTCTATTGGCCTGTAGTTTACTATTTTGTTGTTTCCCTCTTGGTTGGAACATTACTACAGTGTCCGCTTTCATCACTCTTATTCAAGGTAGTATTGGAAGTACTAGGCAAAGCAATCAGGCAAGAGAAAGAAACAAAAAGTATCTAAATTGACTAAGAGAAAGTCAGATTGTCCCTCTTTGCACATGTCACTATCTTACATACAGGAAAACCTAAATAGTCCACCAAAAAAACTTTAGAGGCTGGGCGTAGTGGCTCAGGTCTGTAATCCCAGCAATTTGGGAGGCCAACACGCATGGATCACTTGATCCCAGGTGTTCGAAACCAGTCTGGGCAACATGGTGAAACCCTGTCTCTACTAAAAATATAAAAATTAGCCACTGGGCATGGTGGTGGTCACCTGTAGTCCCAGCTACTTGGGAGGCTGAGGTGGGCGGGTCACTTGAGCCCAGGAGGCAGAGGTGGCAGCAGATGGAGATCACACCACTGCACTCCAGGCTGGGTGACAGAGTGAGACCTTGCCAAAAAAAAGAATCTGTTAGAACTGATAAACATACTTAGTAAAGCTGAAAAATAAAAAATCAACATACAAAAATCAGTAAAATTTCTACCTATCAATTATGAGCTAGCTGAAAGAGAAATCAAGATATTAATTCCACTTACAATAGCTACAAAAAAAATACCTAGGAGTATATTTAGCCTAGGAAGTGAAAGACCACTACAATGAAAACCATAAAACACTGGTGGATGAAACTGAAGGGGACATTCATGGATTGAAAGAACTAAATATTGTTAAAATGGCAATACTACCGAAAGCAACCAACAGACTCAGTGCAATTCTATCAAACTGTCGATGTTCTTCATAGAAAAACAAAATCTCCAAAGGTAAATGGAATTGCCAGAGTCCAAGCAGCAAAAGCAAAATTGAGCAAAAGGAACAAAGCTGGAAATATTATACTACCTGACTTCAAATTTTACTACAGTTACCAACCTACCTGACTTCAAATTATACTACAGTTACCAAACCACCTGACTTCAAGTTAAGCTACAGTTACCAAAACAAGATGGTATTGGACAAAAACAGATATACAGAACAATGGAACAGAACGGAGAACCCAGTAAAAAGTCCACATATTTACATTCAACTAGTTTTCAATGAAAATGCCAAGAGTATACATAGAGGGAAAGGACACCCTCTTCAAAAAATAGTGCTAGGAAAACTGGAGAGCTATATAAAGAAAAATAATAGTAGACTAGCTCTCACCATATACAAAAATCAATTCAAAATGGACTAAAGACATAAATACAAGACTTAAAACTATAGAAATAGTAGAAGAAAACATAGAGGAAAGGCTTCAGAACATTAGTCTAAGGAAAGACTTTATGACTAAAATTTTAAAAGCATGGGCAACAAAAACAAAAATAGATGACTGAGATTATATTAAACTAAAAAGCTTCTGGCCAATAAAGGAAACAACTGGTGTGAATGTAAATTAATACAGCCATTAGAGAGTTTTCTCAAAAAACTAAAAATAGACCTACTATACAATCTACCAGTACCATTACTGGATATTTATCCAAATGAAAAGAAACCAATATATCAAAGGATTGCATGCACCCCCATGTTTATTGCATGATTATTACAATAGCCAAGATATGAATCAATCAGTGTCTATCACCAGATGAATGGATAAAGAAATTGTGGTAAATGTATGTAATAGAATACCATTCAGCTATAAAAAAGAATGAAATCTTGTAATCATTCCAGCATATGGATGAAACTGAATGTTATTATGTTAGTTGAAATAAATCAGGCACAGAAAGCCAAATGTCACAAGTTCTCCCTCATTTATGGAGGCTAAAAATAATTACTTCATGCAGGTAGAGAGTTGAATGATAGTAATCAGATGCTGGGAAGGGTGGGAGGGAGGATAAAGAGAGGCTGGATAATGGGTACAAACATAGAGTTAGAAGAAGTAAGTTCTAGTGTTTGATAGCACAGTAGGGTGACTATAGTTAAGAATAATTTATTGTGTGTTTCAAAATAGCTAGAAGATTTAATGCTCTAAAACAAAGAAATAGGAAACCAAATAAATTATTTCCAAAGATATAGGTAGAGTTTAGACCAACTTTGTAAAATCTGTTCAAACTTTATCAGTTTATGTTTTCCAAGCAATACCTGACATTATAACTACAGAAATTCTTCTGTTCCATTGATTGCTAAGAGGACAGGCAAAAATAAACATTATCTTTACCAAATAATGATGATAATTATTATGATTATTATGATGGTAGTGTTGATGATAACAATAGCAATGGCTAAAATTTATTGAACACTTGCTCTATACTAGGGAGAGATTAGTAATGGCTAAAATTTATTGAGCCCTTACGCTATACTAAGGAGAGATTGTTTTTAATACACACAATCTCACTTAATTCGCAAAACAAAGTGATGGAGCTAATTTTATAAGTAATATATTTCTCATATTTCAGATGTGGAAACTGATATATACAGCGTTTTGTTTGTTTGGTTGGTTTTTGAGATAGAGTCTCACTCTATTGCCCAGGCCGGAATGCAATGGCAAGATCTCGGCTCACTGCTACCTCTGCCTCCCAGGTTCAAGGGATTCTCCCACCCCAGCCTCCCAAGTAGCTGGGATTACGGGCACCCACCATCATGCCTGGCTAATTTTTCTATTTTCGCAGGGACAGGGCTTCACTATGTTGGCCAGGCTGTTCTTGAACTCCTGACCTCAGGTGATTCACCTGCCTCAGCCTCCCAAAGTGCTGGGATTACAGGCATGAGCCACTATGACCAGCCTCAGTATACAGAGGTTTTAAAACTTGTACAAGTTTAAATGATAAGTTATAAAATCAAATTTTAAACAAGTCTCTCAAAATATAGAGTCCGATCTTTTAATAGAAGTTCTGTTTGCATTATAGGAATACTAGTAAGTCATCAAGCTGTGTGACAAAATTTCTAAAGAATACAGTAGGCAAATGTTGCCTTAAAATATGTGCAAACTTTTTCTTTTAGTATTTTAAGCATTCAACATGCCTTCCTCTGTATTGCTTTTAAAATACAAAGCCTAAATATGTTCTGATTACCATAAGTCATCTGGTTGGATCGAGGGCAAGGAATCAATCTCATTTGCAGCCATCATCATGAATCTTCTATACACTCAGCACAGATAATGAAATCACCAGGCTATTGCCTTACTACTTGCTTCTCTTGGGTTATCATCTTCAACTGGAGATCACTTTCAGTTACATAATTTAAAAGATGAAAAACAAAGGTCCTCAAAGTTTGAGATGTTTTCCTAGATAATAAAGTAACCTAAACTCCATTGTAGCTCAAGTCACCTAATGTAAATTTCAATGTATATATATATAGCAAAATTATTGACAGATCTGAAACCCAATAAATTGTAACTTCTAATTATAATTTACAAATATTTCCACTTTCTTAGGTTTTCTCATGTATTAAAGCAGAAATGGTTGCAGTGCCTTTGTCACTTTTAACTGCCAGGCCTTTAGTAGGTCAGACACCAGTTTGTCACATGCAGGATTGGAATATTATTACTAGTTATCTTACCTCAGCATGAGAATCCAATTAGAATACATATTCATTATTTACATGAAATTTGTAAATATGTACTTAATAGTCTCAAGATGAAATAGCCTTTGTCTTAAAACTCTGAGATTTGTCTCAGGCAATTATTACAACCCGAAGAAAAAAATGTTTTAAGTTCTTGCTATCATGATTACACAAATATGCAGCGAAATCTCTGATGAAAGAGTTATTTAGATCAATTGTTCCTACTTCTTAAAGCTGCATACAGTTTCAAGTAGGAGCCCTCCCAAAACCAACCATTTATTTACTTTTCATTCCACCTGCCTATGAGTGAGAACATGTGGTGTTTGACTTCCCGTTCTTGTGTCAGTTTGCTGACACAAGAGAATGATGCTTTCCAGTTTCATCCATGTCCCTACAAAGGACATGAACTCATCATTTTTTATGGCTGCATAGTATTCCATGGTGTATATGTGCCACATTTTCCTTGTCCAGCCTATCATTGATGGGCATTTGGGTTGGTTCCAGGTCTTTGCTATTGTAAGCAGTGCCACGATGAGCATATGTGTACATGTGTCTGTATAATAGAATGATTTATAATCCTTCAGATATATACCTAGTAATGGGATGGCAGGATCAAAGGGAATTTCTATTTTTACATCCTTGAGGAATTGCCACACTGTCTTCCACAATGGTTGAACTAATTTACACTCCCACCAACAGTGTAAAAGTGTTCCTATTTCTCCACATCCTCTCCAGCAGTGGAGTGTTATCCTCTCCCACTATTATTGTTCAGGAGCATAAGTCTCTTTGTAGGTCATTATGAAATTGCTTTATATATCTAGGTGCTCCTGTATTGGGTGCATATATATTTAGGATAGTTAGCTCTTCTTGTTGTAGTGATCCTTTCACCATTATGTAATGCCGTTCTTTGTCTCTTTTGATCTTTGTTGGTTTAGAGTCCATTTTATCAGAGACTAGGATTGCAATGCTTGCTTTTGTTTTGCTCTCCATTTGCTTGATAGATCTTCTTCCATACCTTTATTTTGAGCCTGTGTGTGTCTTTGCATGTAAGATGGGTCTCCTGAATACACCACAGCGATGGTTCTTGGCTTTTTACCCAGTTTGCCAGTCTGTGTCTTTTTACTGGGGCATTTAGGCCATTTACATTTAACATTAATATTGTTGTGTGTAAATTTGATCCTGCCATTTTGTTACTGGTGTTTGTTTTTCCCATTGGTCGATGGAGTTCCCTCATTGTATCGTTGGTCTTTACCATTTTTGCAGTGACTGGTACTAGATGTCTGAAGATCGGAATCATTTTTCATTTTTAGTGCTTCCTTCAGGAGCTCTTGTAAGACAGGTCTGGTAGCAATGAGATATCTCAGTAATTGCTTGTCCATAAAGGATTTTATTTCTCCTTCACTTATGAAGCTTAGTTTGGATGGATATGAAATTCTGGGTT